CAGTGGAAGAAATAATAAGAATTCTTAGGTCATATTTGATTCACTACATTTACTATCTTGTCCCCCAGAAAATCTCAAGGCATGTCAATTGTATTTTTGCTGAGAACAGCTCTGGAAAAGTTTGCTGGGTACAGGACGCACAGACAACAACTAAAGCAACTCTAGGAAGAGAATAAAGGTTATCGAAGTGAAGAAGAGGTGACCGCAGATTTAATTATACACTAACAGTTTAGTATAGGAAACAGAGCTGAGTTTGATGCAAGGTTTGAAAGAAGACCAGTTTAATTCAGGTTTGGAATAAACCTAGCATATTAGTGGAGCTCTGGGGTTACATGGAATAAATAATTATTTGCAGAGAGTGTTTACTTTCAAATTTCATACAACATGCTCAGAAAAGTGTGAAAAGAATGAAGACATTTTCAGGGCGGTTGATTTATCAATTACTTATTTTGTAATGCTGATTTAGAAATGTATTTACTTTCCTGACTGAAAAGGGACAGGCTTTAATCTTAGAAAATATTAACCGTGGAGAAAACTGATTTTCAGAAGCAAAGGCTGAATGCAGTACCTCAATTTTATTTCTATTCGCTTCTGATGACCAAAGCACAAGTGCTTAAAATTTAGTTTGAACGTTAAATGTCAGGTTAAAAATCTGGGCTGCTGGGTAAAGACTCTTTGGGAAAGCAAAGTATTTGAAAAAAACTGAAAAAGACACATGAATTAGTCTTTCTGTGGTTGAAAACCCAAACAAATCAACCAACTGACCAATCAGTCAACCAACAAAAATAAGTTGTTCCACTGAGAAGAATCAGGATTTGGGAAGTTCTTGGGATGGGCGGTGTGTCTTCCCCATATGCCCTTCTGGGCCCAACAAGAGTATTAGTAATGAACCAAATGATAACGTTTCAAACCAGGATAACACGTTAGACTGTGTTCTACACACTCTATGGATCATAAGCAATGTTCTGATATTTGGGAGAGTCAGAAGATCTGGCTAGATGCTGTA